CTCCAAAGCTCCCAAGAGCTGAAGCTGTTGGGTGCACCTATTCTCAGGTCCACATGTTCCGCCGGAAGGCTTTCTCATGAGGAGGTTCAAGGTGTCCAAACTCTTCCACCCACCTGCCTCCAGGAATAAAATGATCAATGGCGGGGGGCGGGGGGTACCTGCTTCTCAGTATTAAGGCAGCTGTGCATGTGATTTTGAAACTTGCCACATGGCTCTTTATCATGTCAGGCTTGATTACACTGTCACCCTGGATCCAGGTGCTGCAGAAAAGGAATCAACCCTTTGAATTAGGCCATGGAAATAGGGATCCAACAAGGACTCGTCTTCTAGAGGGCCTTGGCCAAGGACTAGTTCTCTTTTGTTCTCTTCATCTCTTACCTCTCCCTCTCTGACAAATCCCCCATTGTCTGAGAACTCTGCTTAAATATGAAAAAATTCAATCCAACTACACAAAATGATTAGATTTTTTTTTGCCTAAATGCTATGATGGTTATGTTATAGAGTACCCCCAAATAATTATCTTAAGTATTTATGTCACATCTCCTAAGGCCCTAGGAAAAATGAAAGAAGTCCACTTACAGTCATGAAATACACTCTTCTGTAGAGTAATCCTTACATAGATGAATGCTATGCTATTATGCAATCAGTGCTCAACTGTATGGCATAGGTATAGTCAATATGCAATAAGGTATTGACTGGGTGGAGATATAAATGGGAGAAGAAGCTAGGGACAGGCAGAACAACAGGGGCTCTTGTCTCAATACACTTTTTGTCCTCAAAGTGCTCCTTCTTCCTACATGTAACGGCTACTCTAATATCCCTTCAGTAAGGGGGAAGGCCACTGGGAGTCCTTCCATGTGCTTCGATGGTCCCAGGAATAAGGGACATTGAAGCCCAAGGGACATGCTAAGAAGAGGCCAAGAAAAGCATAATTCCTAAGACAGAAAAACACTAGCCCTCCAGCAGCTGGGTCACAGAACACACATTATAACAAGCAAGCACTTTACAAAGCACTGTCGCAAACAAGATCTTGTAAGCACAGTGTGACACTGGGACGTATGAGCATTCCCTCTCAGGGCACATTGTGTGCTGACCTTTCCCAGAGGCTTTCTAGCTTTCCTAGGCCGGGTTCACCAAATCACCTTGGCTACCGGGGATGGTGCTAACTGCCATATTTTTAGGTTTACTGAAAATACCCACATGTTGTGTGCTGATACAAAGTACGTTGTGATATTTACAGAGTGCCAGATACCTAAAAACAAAAGCGATTTGACAAATATAATTGAAACAATGGTGCCCTTGCATCATAGCTTTTCAAAACTTCAAGATCAAACATGACATGTGTTTGCACAGAAGAATGCCAGGAACATGGACACACAGAGACACAGAGGCAGAAAATTTAAAAGAAATAAGTCTGTCCTTAACACCTGGCTGGCACCAGGAACGTGATGATAAATGGAGAACAGAGAGGGGGTATTCACAGGTATTTTCATGATGGACATTGCAGCAGGCCCCGAAGATCTTCCAAATGTCTCAAAAGTTCAAAAAACGGGAAACAGGATAGCAACGCACAGAATAGCTCCCCTCAGGTCACTGGAGCTCGTCAAGGAAAGGACAGTCCCAGTGAGGTGGACACAGAGTGAACGAATCAGGAAGGGGGGCTCTTAGGCACGTTGCCTGTTCTGGAAACTGGTCCCAAGTCATTGAGTTGGACCCAAGTGCTTCCAGTCGACGCAAGTCTGCGAGGGCCTCCAGACACTGGAGCAGAGGCTCATAAAGGTGGCTACCACCACAATCCTAACACTTGAGCAGCTTTTCTAAAAAAACAAAACAAAACAAAACAAAACAAAAAAAACCAGATGCCCCCGTCCTGCCCTGGAACCAGAGAACGGCAAGCTCGGGGGAGGGGGAAGCCGGGCACCTCTATTTTTCACAAGCTCCTCCAGTGAATCTGATGTATGGCCAAGAATGGGAGTCACTGAATTAAAGCCATTAGGGGAAACCACTTAGCTCAAGTCAGGGATTAATTTACAAATGTCGCCTTAACAATTAGCCCATTAGAACATATGTATGAGGCCTTGCAGGCTTTGAGGATCGTGTTAGAAGTACTCCGAAAAGTACAGAGAGGGGGATGAATCAATTCTCTCCCGGGCAGGTTTTATACATTCTGCTCAGCTCACAGCCGAACAAATGACCCTAATTAATGATTCTGCATGTTTGACTGGGGCTGTCGCCAGCTACTGGCAGCAGCCGCCCCTCCGAAAATGGACCATTTTCTACACAGAATCCCTAGGGCACATCACTTTTTTTTTATTGAGGTATCATTTATATACAATAAAATTCACTATATAAAAACAATAGACCCAAGAATTCCCAAGGCAAAACAACGTGGGGACGTTTCGTTGATGAGTGATCACATCATTCCAGCATCCAAATTAATATGTTTGGTCTGGTGAATTTAACAGCTCCGACAAACATTTACTGGACTCCTATGTGCAAA